GAGAAGGAAACGATGGTCACAACGGTGGAAAAATTACATCGAACATGAATCAGAAAGGGCTTCATCGGAGGCATTTTCTGAAACACCTCGCGGCGGCGATGCTGAGCTTCAGCAGAGTTTTTCGACCAATCGGCCGGTTGTTTCACTTTGATTTAGCTATGGGTGGGTTTAAAATTGAAATTAGTGCAAGAAGAGAAATTTTTACCTCGTTTGGATGTCGGAAACTGCTCCGGTACGGCGGCGGGTGACGGCGGTTGGCTCCCCGACGGCTGGGCTGTCTTCTTCAGCGAGGGGCTCTGGCTGCTAAGGTTAGAGTTTGTGTACGAATTGGGTTATTTATACCCATCCGCTTTTGATATGGACCGTCCATCGATTTTAATCTGGACCGTTCGATCGCGATTAATAGGGAGTGAATCTGTACCGTTCATCGCGATTCAATCTAGACTGTCCGTGCGCGATGCAATCTGGACCGTTCGTGCGTGCGGGAACGGATCTCAGCCGTTCAATCGCGCGCACGCGGATCGCTCACGTGGCTCCCCTCGCGTGGCCTCCCGCGTCAACGCCTCTGTCATCTGACACGTCCTGGTTGGTCGGGGTTGCTGACCGGGCAGCTGACGTGGCGTAACTTTTTTAAATTACGTTTTGACATCCGGTTTCTGATGTTTTTTTCAAAAAATATTCTTAAAACCTAAATTTTCACATATTTTTCTCAAAATTATTTTTCATTAAATCTCTAACTAATTTTTACCATTTTTATTATTATTTTTATTAAATTAAATTAAAATTAAATGAATTAAATTAAAATTATATAAATAATAATTATATTTATATAAAAAATAATAATAATTAATAAAAATAAAAATAATGAAATGTTTGGTGTTACATGGAATAAGCTTAAAAAATGTATGTACAAACACCTTTTGCAGTCTGATTTATTTTTTCTTGCTTATCATTTAATATTCATTAAAAAAAATTTAAACACCTTAAAACATAAATAAAATTTAGTACTAAAAAAATAAAATGTTTTCTGTATTAATTTGGAAAGGTAGCTCAAAATTAATTATTCTTCTCGTTTAAAATCATAATATATCGAAATTGATTTCAATTTTCCACCCCCTTCCCCTCTCCAAACACTGCCATCTTCCCGCTTTTCCTATTGAATGGCGCGAGGTGGTTCGTCGTCTTCAAAGAAAGGCGAAGAAAATGCTGAGTCCATGGAGCGGGGGAGACTGAAGAAGCTTGCCTTAAATAACAGCATTCTCTCAGATGCTCCAGCAAAGTTCTTTACGCTTTTAAGTCCATCGAACCAGGTAATCAAACACCATGGCAAAGACATTCTCAAGAAATCACAGCGCAAGAATCGTTTTCTCTTCTCTTTCCCTGGCCTTCTCGCTCCCATATCTGGCGGTACGATCGGGGAACTCAACAATTTGGGTACCAAGAACCCCGTCCTCTACATCGATTTCCCTCAGGTTGTCTTTCTCCCATTTTTTTTTCTCTCATTTCTTTTTCTGAAATGCTCCTGTAGATTTGTTTGTCTTCTGGGAGAAGGCAAGCTTTCTTGATTAATTGCACTTTGTTGGTATTTTGATAATTTTTATGAGTCGGGTGAACATAACTTGGGGATTTCTGTTTTTGAGTTTGAATTAGTGAAGAGGAGCAATGAAATTATGATTCTCAAACATCTAATGAAACAAAAAGGGTTAGCTACTCTGTGTTAAGTAAATACAGTAGGGTTTTAATTTTATTGTCGGTCGAAGAGCGAGAAGGAAGCATTCATTAATAATATTTTCATAAGTAGAATAGAATAGGAGATTAAGAAAAGCTTCAGCCCGTTACGCATTCCTTTTTTTGTTACATACAAACATGAGAAAACCAAGTCTCCTATGTGGTTTGAGAGGTAGGTTTTGTATGAGGGCGTTGTTTCTGCTTCCATAAGGGTTAACGAAAAAAATAAAAACACGGACTTCAGGTCTTATTGCTACTCATTTTTTTGGGACTTTGAAGACATGAAGAACTATTTGAGTGGTACATAATTTCTAATATTGTATTTTCTGCAGTAACTAGATGTTGCACCCCAATCATTTTGTTTAAAAATGAAATTTCTTCTTTCTTTTAGGGTCGAATGAAGTTGTTTGGAACAATTGTGTATCCGAAGAACAGATACCTGACCCTGCAGTTCTCTAGAGGAGGAAAAAATGTTATGTGTGAGGATTGCTTTGATAACATGGTTTGTTTTTCCTTCCCTTTCTTTCTTTTTCTCATTCTCATCAATTATTAGCTGCTTACTTGGTAGTGATAGTTTTTATGTTTGGCTTTTCCTTCCCTTTTCCACTGTCTTATTCTCTTAAATTGTAAGTGGCTTACTTGTGCAGTGCTAGTTTTTAGGTTTATGTGGTTTATTTTCCCGTTAATTTTTTTTATAGAAAAAGAAATGGCACCACTAAGAAATATATTGTCTTTGGTTGAAAAAAATTGTATTAATAAGAAAGAAGAGATTACAAAAGGAGGTAGATTAGGTACGGGTTTAGGAAAAAAAGGAAAGAAAAAGGAAAACGAGAAAGGCCAACTAATCTTGCGAAAGAATAGCTAGCCAATCTCTATAAAATACCATGGGCCTTTGCCTAAAAAGACGCAAAGAAAGAAATCTTGTCCCAAAGAAGCAAGAAGTGGGGGAGATGATCCCTAAAAATTCTAGCATTTCTCACCAGCCAAATCGTCCACATCCTACCAAAAAACCCTCGTTACGTATGGTTTTGATCACCTTCTTAAAACTTACACCCTGCAGAATCGGAGAAATAAATCCATCAATTTACAAGGAGAAACTCAAGAACCACAAAAAGAGTATCACATGTTCATGCCAAATTCTCCAAGCCACTTTTCAATGCAAAGATGATAATGAGGCTTCACACCTCTAGGGCACATTGCATAAATCTCTGGTGACAAGACCCGATTCAGTCTGCAAGCTTGAAGCATATAATTAGTAAAAGCCTATCTAAAATTGTGGTTTGAAGGAAAAGTTTTACCTTAGAAGTAGGAAGAAGCTGCCAGAAACTCTAATTGAATACATCATTACATTATGAATCAGAAAGCCAAGATAGACAAAAGAAAGAAAACCCGAAAGATTGCAGAGACAAAATTTCACAGCTAAGGTTATTTGGAGAAGGCTGAAGAAAAAAACATGTCATCAGCTTCTTGATTGGCGATATTTTTCAAGAAAAACACTCCAAGAAAGGAATTTGTCCATATGGTCCAAAAAGAGGAAATGGAATAATGGTGAATATGGGACAAGTTATGGAGTCGAGGAAAAGGAGAAACTGGAGGGATATTCAATCAAAATCTTTTCCCAAGAAAGAAATTGAGAGCCATCCCCCACCTGCAATATGAGCAAGGGTAAAAATACACATAGATATTAGAAATAGTCTTATAGGGGCTCTTGTATGTGCTTGGAAACATTGAATTTGGAGTCTCATCCATTTTGACCAAAGTTACTCTTAATAACCCAGTGCCATAAAGAATTAGGCTCCAAACAAAGTTGCCATTATCATAAGCCCAAAAAGACACTTTTACAGAAAAGAGCCAATACGAAGATTCTGATCATTTTTTGGGCAAGAAACACTTCCCTTCATTAACTAAATAGTCTCTAACCAATTCACTTGAGCTCAATTGACAGAGAGATCTCGTAACTCTCTCCATTTTTTTATCAACACCTCTAGTCAATCAAAGAAAAGTGATAGAGTGGGTGTGAGAAGTAAGAGGGCATGTAAGGGTGATGGTAAGAGAATTCAAATATTTTCATTATGATTAAATCAAATATAGATTTGGTTTTAGTATCAATAAAATCTAGCATGTGATTACTAAGTGATCATACTTTTTGACATTAACACAATTGTGCTGTTTATAACATAAAACCTAAACTGCTTTAGATTTATGTTACATACCTTCTGAATGGTCCTTTTAGGGTTTTCCACGTTCTAAATCCTAACTGTAAACTTGAAGTTACAAATTATTGTTGAGCCTTGGCGGACAAAAACCTTACCCAAAGTTGAATCTACCATGAGAAAAAGCTTATAGTCAAAACCCTAAGATGTACTAGGTTGTCAGGGGTTGGGATTTTCTTGAAAAAAATTCTTTCTTCATTCTCCTTCCTAATGGTTGATGCCTTGTATGCATAGATCACACACATTACACAAAAGGTACAATTTCAGATGATAAGGTATCATCTTAAAAGAACAAAAACAGAGAAGGAAAAGGAAAAATACATAAGTTTTGTTTTTATTTTTTTAGCTTTGGGATAAAAGTATGTGATGTCCCATAGAAGCCTAGAGGAAAACTCGTAATTTTCCCAGAAAAATCTCTCATAATTTTCTGGTACAATTTGTGTAAGTGCTCTATATATTTCAAATTGTCCAAGCCATGAGGAGCTAAGGGCTATATTTATAAGCACCCAAGGAAGAACAATTTTCAAGTAAAGGTAGAAAAGTTAGTTCTACTTGGAAACTCTTAGCAAGTTTGGACAAAACATGGTAGTTCCATGTCAAACCCAAAATTTTCATTTCTTGCAAAGTTCCATGGCCAAATATGGTCTTATAAATGTATTTAGTTTCAATGATTAATCTTATATCATTATCTCAAAAAAAAATGATTAATCTTATATCATGTGTAGGTTTAGATTCAGACTATGATGACACTTTTCTAGTTCCATAGTATGATAAGAGAAATAAGGAGAGTGCTAGATCCCTTCCCAGTCGGCCTTTGGCTGGCCATCAAGGCCGACCACACCGTAAGGGGGTCCAATGCTTCA